TCCAGACTCTCATTCTTTCTGTCTGAGAATTCTTACCCTCAGGATAGAATCCAATGACGTGATTTTAAATCATGCTTATTCATCAATCAAACATCTTGTCTTCGTTGCCACAATGTATTATTTTTAAAGTTGCTACCCCCAAAATAATCATGTTGGAAAACAAAAACTCTAAAGTTAATAGTAACCAACAACAACAAATAAAAGAGGACTAGATCAATAGTCTATGATCTGAGACTACAGAGAATTAGGTGAACAAACTGGCTTGGCCGTAATTATAATTTTTGATGCAATCTTTAAGAAACACTGCTCTCTTTACTGCTCATGCTACAAAGCAGGCAGTGTTGTTAGCTCCTTAAAGGAGGCTACAGCCTCCTAAAGGTCTCCTAAAGACCTCCTAAAGGTCTTTTCTAATGGGATAATGGTTTTGACTTCATACTTGCCACTCACCTTTATGTTTGGGATGAGGTTCTGATCCTCGGATACCTGAGGATTGATTGCAATAAGTATTCCATTATACCCATTGTCTTGAAGCTGCACTCTGGTTACCAGTACTAGGAATTCTGCACCTAAGGCAACCAGGAGAGTCACAAGCTTCAGGCTGCAAACAGGACCTGCATTGTCCCTGTGGGTCATGTTAGAGAAGCCTCTGGTTTACTCACACTTGTCCTGCTGGGTACATTGTGCCAGGTTGTCAATGGGAAACATAGTTTCTTCTTGAACTTGAAAAGTCCTAGAACTTGTGATGAAAGAGGTGTCTTCTTCACAAAATCTGGAATGGGTCTATCTGAGACCTGCCTTTACAAGTCCTTTTTCTCTAAGCAATGCCATACTTCCCTGTTCTTTGGCTGAGCTTTCTCCTTAATCACGGTTGGGCAAGAAATCTTCCACTTCTTTCTCATTTTCTGTTTCTCAGAGGAAGAGGAAAACAATACAAAAGGAGCTTGAAAGACAGTTGCCTAGCTGGATGGGCTGGAAATCAGAGAATCTGGATTATTCAATCCACTTTCAGTAGAAAACCCAAAATCTGTAGTGATTTTTCTCTCGTTACCCTTGATAGGCTTCTCTACTCATCAGCGTAACTAATTCCCCACTGCACTCAAGTCATTTTTTGTTTGTTGTAAGATTCTCTTGTCTGCTCATTTTGAAGATTTGCAAATCCATCCTGTAGTCCTGTTCCTGGGGCCCTTGTGTCAGATAGTCTGGGCAAGCTCTCAGCTGATTGCTGGGGCAGAGGTATCACATATACCCCAGGGAGGGTCAAACACCAAGATCTTGGATGCCTGTGCAGGCGACAGAGACTTTTCCCTCTCCCCTTGTTGCCTTTTTCTCTGAACCAGGGAAAAAAATGAATTTCTCTTTCAGGAACTCTCTTGTGAGAGCAAGGCTCTGCTTCCTTCAACCTTCCATTTCTCCAGTACCTATCACAGGACCTGGTAAATATTTTATGAGTGATTAATATCTGATAATTACATAATGCTTTAGAGTTTACAAATGTACCCACTTAAATTTCAATTCCCAGAATAGGGATTGCCATATTATATGGTAATTCTATTCTTACTTTTTTGAGAAACCTCCATACCCCAAAAGTTTAAAAACATTTATCCACTAAGATATATGCACCCCAATGGTAATTGCAGCAGCATTATTCACAGTGGCCAAGATATGGAAACAACTGAAGTGTCCTATGATAGATGATTGGATAATGAAGATGTGGTACCTATATACAATGGAGTATTACTTAGCCATAAGAAGAGAGTAAATACTTCCATTTGTGACAACATGGATGAATTTTGAGAATATCATGCTAAGTGAAATAAGTCAGACAGAAATAGTTGCGAACCATACGATTTCACTCATGTGGGATATAAAACTGAAAGCAGCAAATAAACAAGACAAACAAAAACTCATAGACACAAACAACAGTTTAGTGATTGCCAGAGAGAAAGCGAGGTCGGAGGTAGGTAGAAAAGGGTAGAGGGGGTCAAATATATGGTGATAGAAGAAGATTTGACTTTGGATGGTGAACACACAATGCAAAATACAGATGATGTATTATAGAATTGTACATTTGAAACCCATATAATTTTATTAACCAATGTCACTCCAATAAATTTAAAAATGTCAATTCCCTGATGCAGGTGTAATTTTTACTTTTGTTATTCAGTGAAGACACTGAATCTCAGAAAGATTATGAAAATTAGCCAATGGGGACAAGAACTAACATTTATCGTGTGATAGGTTTCATCATGCCTATTTTATGATTGACAAAACTCAGGCTCAGAAAATCTAAGTAATTTTTTCCAGGTTATGTGAGGATTGTCATATTGCTAGAATGAATCCAACTGATTCTAAATTCCATTGTTTGTCACCATATCATGTTCTTTCATGTTCTCAAGAAACTAGAAATGAATTAAGAGCTGCAACGTTGAAGAAAATTTTTCTCCTACTGTCCTTCTGCTTGAAACCTCTTCTTCTCTCATTGTTTCTCATCTGCTTTTTCTTCATATCCCACATCTGGTCTGAAGCCTGAGCTGAGCTCCCCAACTAGGTCAACCCTGCTTTCATGCTTTAATAGAATCAGATCCCTCTCTTTTGAAGCATGATTATGGTTACAATGTCACATTCAT